TGGCAAACTGCAAATGATAAATACATATCCAAAGACAGCCCAGACCTGAAGCTTTTCTTTGAGATGATGCTGGCTGGGGTTTTCTCAGGGCTTTTAAAATAATTATCAAAATCTCAAGTAAAATAATTTACAGATTTTAAAAACCCAAGTAGTGTTTTTTCTTCAAAGACGTAATCCAACATACCACCTACTCTTTCAATGCAAGCATCAATCACCAGTAGCCAAGTTGGAATCAGAATAAAAATGCACTATTCTCCAGACACTAACTTAGATTTACTCAAACAAGCATTGACAAAGTTAAACAAACAATAAAAGTGGTGGTCTGGGGGTACTGACTGATAGATGAGTTCCTCATTTGTGAGGGCATTTGAGCCCTCATAGGACTCAGGGCAGCATTTAAACAGTTTTGTTTCTCTTTTCTTCATTTTTAAATGAAACCTCTTTTTCTCCCTCTGGCTCTCTTATCTATTGATGTAACTGGTGTTGCATGAGAAATTACCTCATTTCAATGACTGGAGACAGCTTTTCTATCAGCTGCAGTAAGGCTTCTTCATTTATTTAATGAACCTGGATAGGTAGAAAATTAAATATTAGGAGTTGAAGATAAAAAAAGCGAAACCAGAATGTTCTGTGTATTTGGGTGGTTTGAAAAAAATATATTGTTATTAACATAGCCAGTACATATAATTGGTATTTGGATTATGGCATGATTATTAGTCTGCAGACAGGGGACTCTGTTAGCACTCAGTCATCAATGAAGTAGCTGCATTCTGTGCTCATCTCATCTCTGAAGCTGAAAGAAGAGCTAGTTATTATCTTCAAGTGAGTTATTAATGAGAGGAAAAATCATCCCCAATTACTGTGAAGCAAAATATTTCAACATTATATATCTCAGACTTTAATTTTGATCCTTCATGAGTTCTTAAACTCAGATGGTATTCATTTTTCCAAACATTCCCACATCAACATATTGAGAGGAACTTGCACCTGTCCAAGTGCTGGCTTCCCTAAGTGTATGCTTCAGGGTCACAGAAGTGCTGCCCACCCCATCTTTGTGCTGCTAGAGACTGATTTCCACTGAGATTCCTTCATGCTACACCATAGGAACAGAGTCACAAGTGTAGGCTTTGCCAGAGAAGAAATTCTGACTTGCCTATACTGTCTTTGTTCACAGTCCTTTTTTTTTTCTTAACTAGAAACAGCCTGGGATTTATTTAAAAGGACTAATTCTGCTCTTTAGCTTTTCTTTGAATCCTTTTGAAATTAATGGTTTGGAAGTTTTGACTCTGAACGTCCTAGAATAAAACCTGAGCAACACAAAGGTGATGATTTATATTCAGTTAAACATGTGGGCAGTAACCAGGAGATGGGAGAAGTGCTGTCCATACTGTGAATCCATCCATCAACACAGATGCGAAGGTCTGACCTTGGCAGATTCAGGAGGTAGGAACGTCAAACACAGTTTGCAGTCAGTTGGAAATGTAGCTACTAGACAAAGAAAACTCAATAATTACACAGCTGTTTCAGTAGATTACAGACTTCCTAGAAAACAATAAAACCCCCATCTGTGAATAGAAAAAAAGTAAACTTTTTTTTAATTCAAAAACTTAATTCCTGAAAGTCATCAGATATGTCCCCTGTAAACTTCTTATCTCAACAGAGTCTGTAACCAATCCTTGTAGATTTCTCTACAGCATTTATGCCCATTAATGCTTCATTGATTTACAGTGAAACTGCTGAAGGACTGTCTTGAATAGACATATAAATATTAATTTTTTGTGAAGGATGGCTGCTATTACACTAAATATTAAATGAATTCATAATACTTGGACATTTGCAATAAATCACTACTGGGACTGCATACTAACATCTCATTCCAATTTTTTGTAAAATTTTTTTAATTTTAAAGCATGGAAAAGGACTGGTTGCTCCAGAAGATATGTACAGCTTTGTAACACTGGAATCATTAACGAATTCCCACAGCACAAGAAGGAAGGAGTTTTAACTTAGTCCCATTTTACAGAAAGGGGGAGGAGACATGAAGTGGTTTAGGTTGAACTGCTGATCATAGGAGGTTCAAACCCTGCCTATTTCTCAGGAGAGGTCACAGGAAATTATCAGCTCCTGACAGTCCTTGTTTTGCTTGAAATGCTCTGAGCAGCATCGGCATAGGATCTGGCCTTACGATACCAGCAGGCTGAGAGCCAGACTCTAAAGGAGAAAGAGCTGGATATATTGTCTAATCTCCATGCACACAAAGTGGTTGGTATCAGTTCACCTCTAAATATCTTGCCCAAGGCCGCAACTGGAAAGATGGTACTGCTCAGGTTTTGACTAGGCTTAATTGAATTAAGTCATCTTCTCTCTTCAGAGACCGCAGATCTTCATTTCAGAAGTTTAGTAAAATGCTCAGTGGGGGCTAAAAATCAATTGTTTATTTTTCCTTTTGTTAAAGTGGAACAAAGGGTACATCAGCAAGTTCAGTATAGCTTTCTGTTATCCGAGGGATAGTAGCTTAAGTGTAGAAATTTATGCCAGGGCTAACCTTGTAGAGTGGAAGCCATTCTTGTAAACAAAACTGAATGACTGTCAAACTCATCTGCTTTTTAATGTGCAGATGTGTGTGAATATATGCACCCCCTTCTTCCCAAATATTTTTGCTTCTGTGACTTAAATGGTCTAAGTAGCACAAGGTTTTTCCAATGAAAATTTGCCAAGGTATTTAAATTAGAAGCAAAAATTAGAAGATCTGCTACAACACAAGAATATTAATTGTTCGTTATACAGGGCTTTAGTTCACATAGCTACTTTGCATGTGCAAAGCTGCCAATTAAAGAGGCTCAAAGTGCTCACTGCAGCACAATAGCCGTTTCTGCAGAGCCCCACAATGGCTGTTGTATTCTGTCACTGACCTTTGGGCACCTTCAAATACGTATTTACACAGGATGCTGGGATCATTAGAGCTGTTGTTTCAGTGTGCCACACGGAAAGGAGAGTTTTGCAGTTTCGTGAAGAGCTTTAAAATTTGATGTAATGATGACAGCAAAGATATTGCTTAATTAGAGAGTGAGAGAAACACTGAAGTATTTTTTTGATATTTCAGGTGAATTCCAGGATGCACACCTGACACATTATCCACAACGGTCACTTCCCACTGGGAAAAGAGGATATTTATCAGGGCATTTGGTCTGCTTTGCTGTTGTTTCCAGAGGAATTGATTTAGTTTTTTTGACCTGATGGTGCCATATGGTGCCACCCTGCCTCCTTTAGCTTTCATCGATTCTGACTGGGTGAACATCTTGGCAGGATGGATACTTTCATCCTGGAAGTGACAAATGCTCTTTGAAAAAAATAACCAGTGGCATTCAGGAGACTGGCATGTGGACACGCAGTTCAGACTCTACTCTTCAAAAATCCGTGGATGTTGGCTGTATCACAACAACTGTGCTTCCTTTTAGCTCTTCCATATCTTAACATCTAAGGTTTTCTTACCAGTCTGTGACAGTTAAAGAGAGTAGACAAGAACTTTGGAAACAGAGATACCAGATACTCCAAGTACATTTACAGTAGTAAAACCAAGTATCTTCTAAAAGCTTATATTTATTTTACTGTAGCCCTCCTATTCTTTAAAGCTGCTTTGAAAAATTACTTCAGCAGTCAGAACATAAAAGAGCATAATTTTAAACCTTGCATGGGACATTTTTGTCTGCAGAGAATAAATAAATTACTGGCTTGTGTTTCCAAAGCGTGTTCTTACTTGAAGATAGAGGTAGTTTCTGTTCCATAAGTCTTGCAGTTGCTGGGTTTGATTTTATCCCCTGGGATCCTATTATTGAACAAATTATCAAATACAGCTAAACCTTACAGCCCTGAGTCTCTGAAGTTTTTGGGTATTGGCTTGCTCTTCTGACAAAAGAGGAAGAAATCGAATAGACCTTTTGCAAAACTTCTTGTATCATTTTTTAGAAATGGAAAATTTACTGCTGGTTGCAACTCTAGCCTAGTGCTGTGCAGCATGTACCAGAGGATGGCCAGTTTCTGCACACAAACCCTCTACGCAAAAAACTTTCAAGATGAAGGACATAGTATTTGGTATTTTTGTGTGCTTAAAGTAAATGTGCAGCAGGATTTCTCACTGCACTAAGACTCACAATGTCAGATATGTTTCTTCAGTAATGCAGGCTGAACTATTTTTTTCACATTAATTGAAAAGATACTGTTATCTTCTTTTCATTCTTCTGTATCAGAAACCCTTGTAGAACTTAGAAACTTCTCATGCACTGCCACTGCAATTGCCAATTGTGAATTTTGTGGTCTATCTTCAAATATCAAGGTGATACTGTTGCCTTAACACATGAGAAGTGACCCACTTCTAGGAGAGAGACGCGAATAGGTATCGCTGTGTGATGCAGGATGTGAAGAGAAGCACATGCTCAAAAGAACTGTTAAACCACTGTCTTGTGCTTCCATTCTCCCTACAGTAAATCTGCATCAGATAGTAAATGAGGTAGTAATGATAAATGCTTCCCTTCAATGGGCTGGGATCTGAAGTCTCTTCTCAGCCCATTGGCTTCCCAGCAGAGGTTTTTGGCCACAGGTCCTGATTTGTTACTTGTGGGGTATTTCTCTATTGAGGGACAGCGTTATCCTGGAAGGGAGAGGGCAGCATTCTGCTGTCTTCTTTGCATGGGAAGTTTGTACCTTTGCTGTCCCACTGTAGCTGCACTATTTCTTTCAAAAGGCACATGATCACTACCTGGAAAGATGTGAAAATGGAGATAGTCTTTGCAGCATGTTTGGTCCTTACTCTGATGAATGAGTTGAAGCACTGTTGGACGGGGAGGATCTTTATTACAGAAAGCTCAGTTCTACCTGGATCCACCTCTAGTCATGATAGTTTTGAGACATTTTCTCACACACACATTGGGATTGTTCAATAGAAAAACAAAGGGAGTTGGTATGTCTGCTCACTGCCCATATTTCGTTTGGTTCCTTTGCAGAAGGAGAAGAAGAGCGGGCTGTTGAAACTTCTAGCAGGAGCATCAACAAAAAAGAAGTCGCGCTCCCCACCATCTGTGTCCCCCACGCATGACCCCCAGACAGCCATCGAAGGAGTTCTGCAAGGGGCAGTGGGACCTGAGCTCTCCTCTCTCTCCAGTCATGGCCGAGCTGGCTCATGCCCTATTGAGAGTGAAATGCAAGGAGCTATGGGATTGGAGCCTCTGCACAGGAAAACAGGCTCCTTGGATTTGAATTTTTCCATCCCTTCTCCTGCCAGGCCACCCCTCTCTTCCATGGCAGCTATTCGGCCAGAGCCCAAGCCTTTACCCCGGGAAAGGTAAGCTGTGTATTTCCTGAAGTTGCCAGTGTCCTCAGGGAGCATTTGGAGGAGGGCTGCAAGTTTAACTTGCTCAGGGGTTGTTGCAGTTTTGCTGCTCTGTGAATTGACGGTAGGTGGCTCAGCTGTCTTTTAGGAAGACAGGGCTTACACGTGTCTGCCCATTGAAAGTCATTTGGCACACAGTGCAGGTTTGAAAAAGCAGTGAGCAGCCCCTGTCCATGACACCGTACAGCCCTGGTCTAAATATGGAGGACAGCAGTGCTTTCTCAGTGTAAATGGTGTAAATGCTGTTGGCAAATGCCACTTTTTTTTGAGTGAGATTCCTATGTTTTAATAAACTTATGGTGTTAACATGTTATGTCCCACTTGGGGGTAACAGATGTGATGTGTTTGCTTATCAAAGCTCTTCCTGTCCTATTCTGCAAAACCAAAGGCTGTTTTGAATTCTCCTTGTTTAGGATACTTACAGGTATGGCCGTCTTCAGTGACTTCTTACCAAAAATGTAGCTCATTTCTAGAGAAGGATGTACCAGTGACTCTGGAGTTCATTTCAGCAGTCTGCTCTGCACCGTGGTACTTTAGAATAAAGGACTTTGCAAAGCCAAAAAGAGTAGAGTAGGAACACCAAAATACAAAAGCAGGAGAGAGAGATAACTAGCCAGAAACAAGGGTAGAGAGAAGAGCTGGGTCTCCATGTGCAGAGTCATATTGGCTTCAGGTAAATGTTTTCTACTGCAGTTTGAGCATGGGAAAGGGAGTAGATAATATACGGCTACAATGCTATGTAAATGCTTTCCACTCAGAAAGTGTTTGAGGAGAACATGTTTTTTACAAAAGCATCAAGGAATTTTCAAAAAGCCATTTAGGGAACTCTCTTGAGTTGGTATTTAAAAAAATTTTGAAACAACATCAAAATTGCAGAAGTTTGAAAGAAACTACTTTTGTCTGAGTGTATGAAAGAGGCTGAAGGGAATGGACTGGGAAAGACAGCTGACTCTGAATCCAGTTGGATCATGAGCCAGATGATGTAGGGCATAATAAGGATAGTTCATACCTTACACGGTGTTTTATTGAATGCATGTTGGAACTCGGTTGGGAAGGTGACAATGACACCATAACATATTTAAACCTTTCTATGGCATCTGGTTTGTTACCATAAAACCTCTTGCTGAGTAAAGTACATAAAACAGCCCAGCAGGTACTAAGGGGATTGAAAATTGATTCACTGGCATCAAATCTAAGTCTAGATGAGAAATCACTAAAAATGGATTACTTATGTAGGTAGTGCAGCCCAACAAGAGTTGGGTCTGGGACCTGCATTTTCCAACATAAAGCCTTTGCTGTTGCAGAACGGAGGACAGAGGTGAAGGTGGGTAATGAAAGAGGGCAGACCCATTGGTACAGAGCTAATTCAACTCATCAGTAAGGACAACACAGAGTAACAGTATATTAGAGAAGAACCAAATCTGAGGCAAAGTGGAGTGTTCTCAGAGAATCATCCTAAGAAGAATGAAAGACTTAAAACTATGTACTTGCAATGAGGGATACAGGGAGTTCTGGTACACCTGGTAAAGAGCAGGCTCAGGAATGGCTTGGTAACACTCTGTAAGAGACTGCAGTCAGGACAAAGATGGGAATATTTTTACTCCAGGTTTGGCATTTTGTCTAAAAGAGATGCTGTTGTTCAAGCGCAACTACTAAATTTGAAGCAGAAATAAATGCAAGGCAAGTCCTTCAGCACTGTAACGAAGGCAGTAAGAGCAGACTATCGCAGTAGTCTCTTGTCCTTAAAATCCATGAAAAAGCAATTTAGTAAAAGGAGTGAAAAACCAGTCCCTATTTAGGCACACTTAATTTGGTCTACATCAGTTCAGATTAATGCTATAAGAAAAGATAAATCGATATAAACCAGATTCAGCACAAGTGTAACTAAATCAGTGGACTGCTGCACCTTTAGTTAAATGTAGCCATGAAAAGAAGCCAGGAAGAACAGCCTCTGACATCTCCAGAATGACTGTTAAGGTGCTTCTCTCAAAGCTTTACTGTAGAGAATTGCAGACACATCATTTTATATTCCAGGGCTAGTCCCGCATCCTACAAATTTCTCAGTCCACCTCAGGGTGGTCCAGATAGGGAAACATTTATCCGATGACCATTTTAAGTGGCAGAATAGAACCAGCTGTTCTGGGCTCAGGAACAAATAGATTTAGACTGCTAAAACTGACTAAATACTTCCAGTTGCAGTATATTCTGATAAGGAACTTACTCTGATTTTAATTCCTGAGTCTTAAATCCAAAAATAAGCTATAATTGAAGTAACCCTAATTATACACAGCAGGCAAGATTCTCTAATTGATTTATGAATTAACTTCCATATCGTTGGTGTATCTGCATTCCTTAACTGATCATATGGGTTTTTTCATGTCCATAATGGGAAATATTAATTACCTTCATGCACTAGGAAGGATAATGCTTAGTTCTGGAATAATCTAAGCAGATACATTAAACAGTTGTCTCCTAGAAATTCATCCCACATCCATCTGTGCTCATTAAATCATCAAATTTTCTCAGAAGTACCAAATTATATTTTTTTTAAAACAAATTATGGTTTTCAAACCACTTGTTCTTTTCACATCTGGCAATGGAGCAACTTGCATTCAACATCACTCAGCTCCATATTTTGCTTGTTTGCATTTTGGTGCATTTCATCCGCACAGTAGGAGCAATTCTCTGAGAAAGAAAAGGGAGAAGAGGGAAAAAAAGGTTAGATAAACAGATTCAGATGCTGGATGAAATTTTTAAAAAGCTGCAAAGCATTTCAGTACACTTAGCTGTACTTGGCTTTCTGTCTCCCAACGCCCATCTGTGCACATAGAAACAGAACACTGAAAGATTGGAAGAAGTAGCACATTCCTTAATATTTACAGCATTTGAAATGAGGCTCAAGCAGGCAGCAGAGCACCACCGCTACTTTTCCTATAGAGGTTGGCTTGCAGCTCCAGCTCTTGCCATATCCAGGTTACTGATCAAACCCAATGCACCAAGAGGTGCGTTAAAGGGCTCTGATTGCTCATGATTTAAGGGAAGAATTGCCGATTCTGCTGCCTGACAGTGCAGCTCTTCCTGGGAGTTGCAGCCAGATAGACAGGAAGGTGAAGTGAGCTTCACCCTCTTGAAGGTGCTGGTAATGTTTATATACTTATTCATTTTTTTTTACATAGAAAGAGTGAGGAAAACAATTATCCTTGATATTCCAAAACCTGGTTATGGATGGCTGGATTAGAAAGGAAATTGCTTCTAGCTCTTCCATCATTTAGCATTCGTATTTATACCGTTTGCTGGGATAGTCAGAGCCCTCCTCTGCCTTCTGGGTGTAGTTCCCACTATCAGTTTAAAAAACCGCCTTTTTTTCAGCTGCTCTCTACCATAAAGCATCCAGCAGTCCAAGTAGCAGAGCAGAAAAATTTCCCAGGTGGTGTCCTTGTCACTTTGTGTTGCAGTGATTGACTGCCAAGTGAATACCCTATCAGGCTGTGTTACCCCACATGCTCTTTTCCACCTACTGCTCCATCCAGTTTCTTCTGGAGGAAGAAACAGGACCAGTATAGGGCTGCACTGTGGTGAGGCAGGTGCTGGGCCGAGCCTTGCCCACATCCCACCAACACTGTTCACATGAGAGAGGGATGTGCTGTGTGCCTAGCAGCGCCAAAACAAAATAGTTTCCTTGCTACCCCCTTCAAGAAAATATGACTGTACATTAAGCAAAACAGGAGAGTTGAGTGTGCATGTGTGTGTGTGTGTGAGTCATGTTCCCTTCACTGCCTGGCACTGTTCCCAGATGCAAACCTGATTCAAACATGTCACGCATTGTTGACTCTTAGAGTAACTGGCACTAATTCTGCCATGTTATATTCTGGTAAAGTGGCCATGTCCAGACTTACTGTCATGACTGGCATATCTGTGCTGTGTTTCTAGGGTTTACGTGGAGCATTCAAGCAAGCTGTAACCACCAAATAAGATGGGAGCAGTAAGTTTGACCTTTAAAATAGATCCCTTCATGTTTCCAGGTATCTTTCTACAAATCACTGCCACATTAGAAATTGAGCTCCCAATTCAAGGAAGCATTCAAGCATGTGCTTAACGCCCATTTACTTCAATTTTCCTGTGCACATATATCTTCTTTGCTAAAAAAGAAGGCAAAAGAAGGGTTCTTTTCATTCCTGGAAAGTGCTACTGGAGAAATGACCCCAGGAGTAATTTCTGACTGAACAGTGACATGTATGCACATGGTTAAGTGCTTCTCTGACTAGAGATACCTGCCTTAGGACTGAGAAACTAGAAGTAACCATCTCAGAAATTGAATTCTGCAATATTTCCAGCAGAAGGGTAAGAGACCCAACTGAGACTTGTTCTTCTAAGGCTGCTGATTCAGACACTATGCTATGGAGAAGCGGGTTCTGGCTTGTGCAGAGGTGCTTTGCAGATCTCTTCAATTTGCCAGTAAAAGAATGGAGAAACAGAGCTCCACTGATAAACAAGAGCGGTGGTTAACTGGGCTAGATGCTTCGTTGGCACCAATTATCTGTTCCTTCCAAAACCGTGTATCCTAGCACATAAGGGACCTGTTGGAGTCACAGGATTGGACTCTTGAAACCTGTCCTTAGTGCATGGTACTTTGACAAACAGGAACTTGCATTAAGCATCCAAATTCAAGAACTCTAAATAGAATCAGATTGAAGGTTAGCCCTGCAGACCTTATTTGCCTCACTGTACATTTGTTTTCTTAGGTTTCTCTAGTTCCGTCGGTGTCCTGGGTGCACATATTTACTCAGTGAGCAGATACGTAGTATTTTGGAGGAGTTTTTTTATCAGTTTCCAGGCCTGAGTCCAACCCTTAATTACTGATCAGTTTTGATCAATACTGTTCAATGTGCACGCTGACAGAGAGCCTGCATGAGTCATTTAGACCGTACAACAGACTCCTACACAGCCAGGGTGCATGAGATGAGTATTGCTCTGTGGAAAGTGTGGCACGAGGCTTTGCAGCTGGAGGAGTCAGAGATGGCACTTTCCCCATATCTGCCCTACTCAGTGAGTTTCATCACGGTCACTTGCTAGAGATATTCCAACCTCTGCAAAAGATGGGGTGGTTTCCATGTCAGAGCCTTGACTCACATCCAGAGAAGCATCTTGTGCACTAAATGAGGCAGGCATCCTAGGGGAAAAATAGTCTGCAGTCATATAATAGAAAATTATATTGCATGGAAGCAAAAGTGAAGTCATGGGCAATTTTAGTTGCCTGTTTCTTCATCTCAGGTGCATGGATGGGTGTGAAACACTCCTGCTCTGTTAAGGTAGTAGATGACTTTATGCATCTACATGCATGACATTTTTAATCATTTTGCTTCTTTAAAGGAAACAAAACCAGAACTTCCATCATGTGACATCTATTTGATATTAGGAGTCTTAGCTGCACCTTCCAGATTTCAATAGCAGTAGTAAAGGGAGAGCTGGGTGGGAGAGCTATTTCTTTTAACTGTGAGGACAAGTGCTATGAAGACAGGGGACAGTGGGATTTCAAGGTCTTTGCTGACAGCAGAGAATGGACCTACTCCTGCCTTAGTGAGCTAATTGCTGCCAGGCTGCCTATGCCACCCTCAGCCCCAGTGCCAGCCTCTACTCATGCCCCGCTGAATGCCATGTCCCTGCCCAGGCTCCCTCCCACCAAGGGTCTTTGCTCTCCCAGACTAAGCTCAACACATCTTCCCCCCTCAGCAGCCATACCCACACCTTCTGTCAGGGCTTCCAGTTTTCATCATGGTCCCATTTCTTTCTCTGCTCCCAATTTTTCTCCCTCTTCCTCCACCTCTTCCCTTACCTCACCCTGCCCTCCAACTCCCTGAGGTTTCCCTGCCCAGGCAAACCCCATCCTCTGTCCTTGGTGATACCACTTGCAGCCTCCCACATATTATCTCTTGGGCACCAAGGACCCTTCCCAGGGCACTACCCGTCCTGCACAGTCCCCTCCAGGGATGAAGTGCCCAACCCAAAGATGCCACAGTAGCCAGCAGTGGGGAAGTCCAACATCAAGTCTGTCCCCTGAGAGAAAAACACAAGAGGGGCCCAGTGTTGGGAAAGGAAGAGAAATGCAACATCTGAGGTCCTGCAGAGCTAGGTCAGCTTGGAGCATGAATCAGCAGAGATTTTACCTTCAGTGCTCATACAAGCCTAAACATGTGCCATTTTGGGATGATTTAAATGCTTTTAACTCAGCTGAGAGTGGGTGATTTTCTGAAGGAACACCATCCCTGAGAGACCAGTTTGACCACAGGACAGGTCTTTGCTCCCAAATACAGGGACCTGAGAGCAGTTTGTGGAGGTCCTCACCTGGCTCCTGCTGGTGCACATTTAAGTTATTCTTGGAAATGATGCAGCCATTGGGCTGTATGTTGGACCCTCAGCCTGACACAGCCAACTGCTGTGGAAAATTTGGGCCAAAACTATTAACATTTGGCAGAATTTTAACTATATGAGACCACAATTTATGACAGAAAATACCAAACAAAACTAAGAAAACTGAGATCCATCTAAAATGCCAAGAGACTGTTTGAGAAGATACTATGAAATTGTAGATTTTCTTACACCAAAGAGGGGACAAAAGGGGAAATGAAAAAGGTAGATATAAATAGAAGTATCCTGGACTGCCTTTTTAGGAGTGAGGGAGGATGTCTGGGAGAAGAGACCTTTTCTGCCAAAAAAATATGGCTAATATATATATATGTCCTTGCAATGCCATTGCAGAGGATAAGCGAGGCTGAGGTGCCACCTGGAGGTGTGGAGGGGCGGCACAGCACCGTGTGCCAGGAACAGTGCCTGGCTGCTGCCCCTGCAGCCCCCACTGGGATGCCTGTCCCGGGCCCTGCATCTTTTTCCATCTCTCACAGACAATTTCTTAACTGATTTGGAAGGTCTTTTGTCACTACTATTTTGTTACTCTATAAAAAACCTCTTCAGTGATATTCTGTAAGGTACTCTAGTTAATTAAATTTAAACCATAGCATTTGAGGTTTCCTAAATGGGAAAAAGGACCTCATTTTGTAATGCAGTGACTGTGGTTTATTTTTCTAAATCTCTAAGAAGATGCTGTGTAGAACCCCTTTAGGAGGATGGGCACATTCTTATTGAGTGTGGTCACCTCCCTCCTCATATGAACCATTTAGGGACTAGCAGCTCATCACTCCTAGGATGTAGCTTGGCTTTAAAAGGATGCCTCTGTGCTTAGGGTATGACATGAGGTGTTGGCAGTCCCAGCTGAGTCTTTAGAGCAACCCTACCCAAGACACCCTGCATTTCTGTTCCTGACCTGCCAAAAAGGTCCATGAGTACCTCCACAACACTCAACTAACATTGAGGTCCAGCTTTTTTTCTTTCTCAAAGCCCCACAAATTCTTGGTGCAGAGTTCCAATGTGCTGTGATTGTGCAGAGCTGTGAGATCTGAAACTTGGCATCATCTTGGCTGAAATTGTTCCACTCTGATAATTTAATTAATCAACACTGCAGCAGAGTGTTTGAAATAATGTGTGCATTCATTTGCATAATGGGTGTAATTGCCAAAGCTTCATAATATAAGTGTAGCAGTTCCACAGATGATAGTTTGATGGACCATTTTTCTGCAGCCAGGCAGCAACACACGTTTCAACCTCTGTTATTTGCTTTTCCACAGAGGAAGGAAGTGACAGCTAGATTTATTAACCAAGGTACAGAGAGGACCAGCAGATTTTTGATGGTACTTAACACATGTATTTTCCACATGACTGTGTTGCTGTGTCAAGATAAAAAAGCCACAGTCAGGTTTTAGAGAACTCCAGCTCCAAATGGAGTTTAATCCTTTATGAAGTAATGGGTTGTTTGGCTGTGGAGATGTCCAAATGTAGAGGTGGTATTTTCAGTGTCATGTCAAAGTGGAGTCTGTAGTTTCAGAACTGCAGTCACTAGGTACCTGAGCAATGTCTGCAAAGAAAATGGATGACTGCCATTGGAGAGTCTTCCCAACAACAGGATATTATCTTAAATAAATACTCATCTTGTTACAGACATAACTGAGGCATCAGTAGCCATGCAGCAGTTGTGGAAATATTCTCAGGAGATGCGCTTTATGCAATCAATTGGCATCTTTTAACTATCTTACTATATTCATTACTTTGCAATTAGCAAGACAGTTATTGACTGTTAACCAAATGCCAGACAACTGCAAAAGTACATGTGCTGAAGAAAAAAAACAACCGTGCAGTAGAAATATATTCCCTGCTCTGCACACAAGTGCATTGATATAAAATGACCCAGTCTGTGCTCTCAGGAGGACGCCTGCTGATAAGCCTTGAGTGCAGAATAGCTGTATCAGGTTCAGACACGTTGTTACTTCATTGAAATGGAGTGACACTTGAAAACTAAGTTCCCAGAGAGCCCTGTGAATGGTTCAGGGCTGAGGTTTCCTGTTGGTTTGGAGAGTGCTTTGAAAGTCATTTGATACCTCTCCATTTTAGCTTCCCTTCCAGGTTTGAGGGACCCAAAGTACATTCTCAAGGAACATAAGAAAAAAAATGTGAATGCTTTAGCTAACCTCTGCTGGTATCACAGGCAGTGGGAGCATTGCAAACCCCATTTTTCATCATCAGTGGACAAGGGAAGAGCTATAGGTGTCATCTATCTGGACGTCTTTGACATGGTCCCCCACAACATCTTTCTCTCTAAATTGGAGAAGGATGGATTTGATGGGTGGACTGTTTGGTGGATAAGGAATTGGTTGGACGGTCGCATCCAGAGGGTAGTGGTCAACGGCTCAATGTCTCAATGGACACTGGTGACAAGTGGTGTCCCTTAGGGGTCCCTACTGGGACCAGTGCTATTCAATATCTTAATCAATGGCACGGATGGTGGGATTGAGTGCACCCTCAGCAAGTTTGCAGATGACACCAAGCTGACTCATGCAGTTGACATATGGGCTCTGAGCAACCTAATCAAGTTGAAGATGTCCCTGCCCCCGGCAGAGGGGTTGGACTAGATGACATTTAAAGGCCCCTTCCAGCCCAAACTGTTCTATCATTCTATGATTCTATGATTTTGCATAGAGAAGATGCAGAGCTGGATGAGACATGTTACAGCACAGGCAGATGCAGCACTAGGATAAAGGGCTGAGTCCATGGCACAGGCTCAGCACACAACTGGGAGCATGGCCTGCTTTCCTGCTTTCATGGCCTGGCTCCAGATACTGGAGTCCAGAAACTGGTCCTGTCTTCAGTCAAGCTGGCCAGAAATCTCCATGTCTTACTGAGTATTAGTAGAAAATGTAGCTGCATTGGATACAACTAGTGTGCAAAAATGTAACTTACTGCTATTTCCAAAAGTATTTTTTTCCCCAAGATTTCTGATACTGATGCCTGGCTGCTTCCAGTGTGCAGACTGACCAAATCCTTGCATTTCTTTTTCCAAAGGTACCGTGTTGTGGTCCCATACCCACCACAGAGTGAGGCTGAGATCGAACTGAAGGAAGGTGACATTGTGTTTGTGCACAAGAAGCGGGAGGATGGCTGGTACAAAGGGACGTTGCAGAGGAATGGCAGGACGGGCCTCTTCCCCGGGAGCTTTGTCGAGAGCTTCTGAGGATGAATCGCCGCTCTCTCAACTGAGGAGCTTTCAGGGGAAACTGCATAGCACAAGAAGAGACAGCAAAGAGAAACTGGACTGATAACCACTGCCATTTTTATTTCCAAAGACTTCCCCCAGGCCCTTCAGTCTGCAGCTCTGGAGACACAGTGCCTGCTGTGCTCCCGAGACCGTGTGCGGTGCATACAGTGGTATGTTGAAGTAGTGCCTTCCACCTGGAATCACAGACTGAAAGGACGCCCATCTGGACTGTAGTAACCTAAACTCTGGCTGTTAACCCTTTGTGTAAATTATAGAGAAGATATCTTTAAAAAAAAATTAAGAGGAAAGCTGTTATATTGCTGTAACTTATTTGTCAGACTGCAGTGTTCTTATTACTGGCCTATGCAAGATGGATTTGAGAGTTCAAGAAAGTGTGCTAGGAAGCTCTTAAACTGGGATTTTGTTTTTCCCAAGGGAAAAAGAGGGAGGGGAAGGTGGAGAAAACCCCAGCTAAAGATCAGTGCATCGTTGTGCAGGAAAGAATGAGGAGTCCAAAATATTAATGTCATGCTTTCTATATACCTCAGAGATATGCTGCGCAAGTTTTTCGGTGAGTGTGTTAGTGCTCAGAGTCCCATACCACCTGGTGTCCTGGCGCTGCTGCCGGGGAAGTCCTGGAGGAAATACAGCTCCACCATTAAACTGTGGTTATTTGAGCAGAATCCCTTTTGCCTGTTTTCTGCCCTTATTATATGCAGCATGGATTTTTGTCCTTTGGTATCACTTTCCATTGCTTTTTTGTACAACGTACCTTTTTACTGTAAGAATTGCTCTACTTTATATATATTCCTACTAGATCAGACATTTTCTCTTTTCATACATCTGGTGCTATTTTTTTTAATTGTTAAAGATTTGGTTAAACAGAGAGGCTGCGACAAGATTTGCATTCAACATATGAAATTAGAAGTGTACCTGGAGATCGAGATCAGACTGCTTGTTCTTGCTTCATAGAGGAAAAGAGAAAAAAGCTGCATGGCCACCAATATACCTGGGGGAGCGTGCCTGTGCAACATGCACACGCTTGCTCTCTCCTACGTATTTAGAGTGGCTGAAGGCCCATGCTGAAGCACAGCATTCTGTCTGGAGAGTGATAATGACTCCAGAATTGGAAGCAATTCCCAGAGGAGTCGTTTTAATTGACTTTTTCATGGCAATAAGAAGAACACTGCAGGTTCTAGCACACACAAGGACTGTGGAGTTTTCCTCTGTCGTTGCATGATGGAGACAAGAGCTGATCTGCGACAAGCTGTAATTAGCATTATTGAAATGTGATTTCTTACTGTAGAAATGTACAGTTCCGGATACTGTTGGATTTCTTAACGTGGTCAAGCTACAATACAAACCGTATCAGGCAATATAAGCTTCCATCTACCAGGGACTTAAAGGTGCAATAAATGTAAAGTGAGTTTAGCCAGTTATTTGAATGAAACAGAATGAGAAAAAAATGCCGTAATGCAATTGTGAGGGTATTTAAAAAGACATCAGCTCTTGAGGAATGAATGGTGATGAAAGGCTTTTCATAGCTGTATCCATACCTTGCCTCTGACAGCAGCTGGCTGTTTGCCAAAGCCCACATGTGGTGGGTGTTTAAAAGCCTGTCGGAGGCACCGTAACCTGGAGATGATCTTATTAAAGGGAAGAGGCCCAGTGGGTGAACATCATTACTGCGTTACAAGTATTTCATATGTGAAGGTGTAAGTTTTGTTTTCATTCAAGCCGTGTGTACTAGTACATATCAAAACCCATGTAAGTGAGGATTCCTATTTAAGTTCAACTCTGTGACTTTGTTCTCTGTAAAATAAGTTCTTCTTGCTATCACATGTAACAAACCAATTCCAGAAACACAGTCCATGGCCAAGTATAGCACCTTCAAACAGGGAGGCCTCATTTTCAGGGCGTTTCTTTATATACTTAATGTTGCCGCATTTGTTGATATTCCAGATCGTAATGAATCAGCCACTAAAAATTTAGTTACTGTAGAGAGGAAATTGCTTTTTTATAACCAGTAAGAGACTGAGGAAATGTCTTCTGGAAAGACTTGATTGAGACTAGAGCCATATCTGTTCCACTTATTTGGTCCAGGTCAGAATTGGTGTCACTGCACCTCAAACAGTAAACTGCAAACTGCACAGTTAGCGAGTCAGCAACACCAAAATGTGTGTTATTGAATCCAATAAGAATTCTGGTTTAGACCTGTCAGAGATGAGATTTTTTTCTGACAACTTACAGTGGTTAAAGCCCTCTTAAAATCCTGTTCCATGGTGTATTTACTACAGTCAGAAAAATGAAACAGGATGGCAGCTTGCTTGCTGCCTATTCTGTTTAGCCAGATCTAAAATGGTTCCAGATTTCCACCTTTTCATGCTTAACTCTAACAGGACAAAAGTTGGTGTGTGAAAAGATCAAAGAAAACATGCAGATGTCATATTATTAAATCAATGCTTTGAAATATATTTTGCAGGGAGGATGATGGTTTTTTTAAATGGTCAAAACCCTTTCAGTCATACCTCCTGCAAGGAAAAATATAGAGGGGGAGGGGATGTGTTCTGTTTGATAGCAGCTGTTTCTGGCCTCTGTTTATTGTTTATCATCACAGTTTGGGTTACTGAGTAATCTCCTTGGACAAATCACTTCCATGCCAGGAGCACAAGTATTAAAGTGAACTTAAAACAGCTCAGTGATACAAAAATATGACCCAGTGCCATTCAAAAAGTCCTGGACTGAGAGGTTCAGCTCATTCTGTGGTCTAATTTTTATCTGTCATGTCAGGAAAAGGGGGAGGAGGGGGCGTCTGCATCTCCTGTAACAGGGCAGGGAAAAGGAAAGATTCCTTCTGGTGGCCTCAGTTTGTAAAATGCCAGGTTTGCTCTTCTAGAAGTGGGTTCAAGTAATTGAACAATTCCTTTGAACTTTGCACAGCTCAGAAAATGTTTTTGTTATACATGAATGTTAATGTGGTTTAGGAAGTGTTGGCAGATATGAGTACAAATGAACTATAATGACTGTGTTTCTGATTCTTTAAATAAAATAAACATTAAGGCAACTTGACTGAGGTTTCCCTCTCTCTTAGATGACAAGGGGAACAAGCAGAGTAAGTGGCTCTGAGGTTCACAAAGAAAGCAGGGAAGGCCTCTCTGCAAACCCTGTAGTAATTCCCACATAAATAAAGGCCGGTTAAAGGTAAGACATGCCTGAACAGAAGTCCAAATCTCTTTCTCGTTCTTCTTTTGGCAGACCAGGGGTTTCTTCAAAATCTCAAGAAGTTAACAACTAACCTGTGGAGAAAAGGTGTGTACTCCAGAGAAAGAGAGCGGGGACAGGCCAGGAAGAGGGAGTAAGGTGGCAAAGGCAAGGCTGTGGCAGAGAGGTTAGGAGGGATGTGGAAGCAGAAATATTTTCAAGGAAAACAGCAGCCTCTAATCCTGCTGGTGGACTTCAGGGGTGTTCTGAGGTCACCTGGTGGGTTGAGCAGGCTTGTAGGCAGAGGAAGAACCCTTTCCTCCTGCCCTGGGTGGGTTTGGGTGTGGTGCCAGCAAGGTCCATATGTCCTCCAGGCTATGAATAGTCAAGGAACTGGGAGAGGTGGAAGAAGCAGGTTGTACCCTGGGCATCTGAATGCCCTCTAACTCAGGTGATGGGTGTAAGCCCATTCTTGCACGTGGCCTGAGATTCCCATTCAGCAGCAAGGTGCAGAGCATCTGGAGAGGGAACATGAGTGCATCAGTGGGTCTGGATGTCTTTGCCTTGATTTGGCTGGGAGACACCTCTGTGGAAGAGACACCTGTAGGCAGTGGTTCATTGCCCAAGTGGGGAATGCATAGGGCAGGGAGGAGCAAGGCACAGCCAGCTCACCAGGTCGTCTGAAGGCAAGCCCACCCCTTCAGAGAGGTGATACGAGTCTCTCTTTGCCCCAGCTGGATCCCGAGTCCAAATTTGAAATGTGGGAACCACAAGAACTTAAATGTGGGCAGGCAACCCCTCTCCCTCTGCTCAGCCTCACTGGCTGCCCTGCCTGACAAGCAGTGTGGTGCAAAATACTGCACAGAGGAGCCTGCCAGCTACTTCCAGCTCGTCTGGAGTGCCAGTCCCTCCACACTTTGTCAGATCCTATTCCTCTGGTATTTCTCCAACCCTCACTGCCAGAACATACCACACACCTCACCCAGCCTTCGCACTGCATGTTGCCCCTTGCTTCTGCTCCAGTGCCTGATAGAAATCTCAGCTATGTTTTGAAAGACAAATAATCATTGTAAAATTGTTACATGGTTTGACTGTTCCTAAATGCTCAAAGAGACCAGAACCACCTGGACAACATCTGCAGGGCTTTCCTGCAGCCAAAAGCTCTTCCTGACATCAGCAGCTCCTTATACATGGTGAACCCGGCAGCTACACGCCTCGGCTAGCTGGTGCCAAACCAAATAAATGAGCTGTACTAGAAGGGAAGCCAAGAGGTGATACAGTCTGGAGAAGGCCCTGTCCTCGTGCCCCAGCCTTTCATGTAGTAAAAATAAGTTTCCAAGTGGTCACAGATGTATTTCCAATTACTAGGGTGTGGCTGTCTCCCCTCCCTTCATAAAACGACTTGATTTTTCTCAGCCACCAAGCAGCACCACCTGCCCCACAGTGCTGCGAAGGGGCCACGAGCCAGGACACCAAGGGGCTTGTCGGGGTGGTCCTTTTGCAGCACATGGCAGACAGCCTATGTGTGTCCCCTACGTTCATAGGTACAGCTCAGTTGCAGATGAGCCCATCCCTGCTTGGCCCTCTTCTTTACTCCCACCCTAAGGAGACCCCAACAGTCCATGGAAAGACAGCCAGGATCCTGCTGATTTGGCCAGGGAGTCACTGAAAGCTGTTTCCAACATAAATGGCTCTTTTGCACCAGCCAAGATGCCACACAATGTTTTTCCAAAGGCAAAAGAAACAGTCTTGCATGCAAGATTACAAGCTTTGTGACCTCCTGTGTGCACACCTGTGTGTGCAGAAAACCCCATGAACAAGGAGTGCTGGTGGGGAGTGGGGCTGTGCTGGTGCTTCCTGCCCACCCCTCTCAGAGAGGGCACTGGAAAGGAGAGAGATGGCTTTTTAGTTAAGCATGAGTGTCCTTGGGGAAATGCCTTGCTTGAGGAAACCTTGGGTTGGTCAGTGCCATCAGTGCTGCACCACCGCAAAAGACAGGGAGAGTGATAAGGAAGATGCTTTTGGTGGAGAGGTTGCTGTCACCCATGGGGTCCTCAGGGTTGCTGTCACCCTGGGGAGCATAGAAGTGATGG